TGAACAACTCTGGAGAGATCTTAAAATACCCGTGCATCAATGCTTCCCATCCAACCCGATGGAGCTCGAGAGGTTCCGCAAAGAAAAATAGGTGTTTCTAGCTTGTAACTTAATACTTAAAAAGACTTGAGGCTGTAATTGCTGCCAAAGATTTTTCAACAAAGTATTGAGCAAAGGCTGTGAACAAACTTTGTCATTTTGGGGTATTGTGTGTAGAATTTACAGGTGAAAATGTATTTTGCTAACAAGCTGTAACATGACATAATCTGAAACAAGTGAAGTGCTGTGAATACTTTCCAGATGCACCGTAGAGGGCAAAAACAGGTGAGTGAAGAAGAAATGCTCAGTGCATTGTGGGAAAATAAATAGGCAGAGGCCTCAAATTCTCAAGCATTAAAAAGATATTTAATATATTTTATTTAAATGCACTGTGCATTTTTTTTCTATCACATTTGCCACAAGGACAAAAATCAGTGCAGGCAGTGGATTTTATTCATGGGTTTCAAATCACTTCTTCGTAATAGTTAATTCAATTCACTCCTTCCGTGACCCATGCTGTGATAGAGCAGAAGGCCAATTTGACTGGCCCGCCTACTCCTGCACGAAGGACTGAAGATCATTCTTTCACATTTGTGTTATGAGATCCCGACACCAACAGCGCAGCCTTGAAACTGCAGAGATGCTACATGAAAGCATAGTTGGCAACTGTCTCTCAAGAGTTCATAACGACCAGCATAGTAGACTCAAGGTCTGCTGCAATGCACTTACATTATTGTTGTATTACATGGGCTCTTTGTATCCACACATTTCCTCTGGGACCGTTTTCTTGTGAGTGACCCCGAGCTGCAGTTTGGCTATTGTTGAGGACTGACTTAATTTCCCAAAGGAGAACAACATATTAGTCAGAGGATTGATCGCTTAATTTCACATTTTCCTCAGATGCCTGTTGGGTGTCTAAAGGTTTCTTAATTTTTATTAAGATTGTTCTTTGTAGTTAAGAAAAATAGAAAGAACATGAATGAAACAAATGAGAGACATGTTTCAAATGAAGGAAGGAAGTCCAAAATTAAAAGTAATGACAAACAGTTGTGTTTTTTATCTGAAATGAGGAGCCTATGCTATACTGTAATTCTGGTAAACGAAGTTGCACAAACACTGCACAGAACAGAAAGACATTCAACATTTGAAAAAAGAAGATGACAAGTTGAACTGAAAAAAGAAAGAGCTACATTTGGCATCAACACAATATTGCAACTAGTTAAAGAAATTGCATTATGGAATCATTTGCTCCATTGCGTCTTCTCTGTCTCCTTCCAGGCTATCTGCAGAGTCTGCTCTAATTATCTGTTCTGATGTACCTGACCCTGCCATGTCATGTTGGTGGAGGCAGCATGCAGTTAAATTAACCTTAGCCGTAAGAGTGAGAGAGGGATGTCTTTTCATGCTGGTGATCCATTAGCTCTGTGTCTGATATGATATTAATTATCCGTGGGGTTTGAATTGTAATTACGATTTGATTTGCGACTCAGCTTGGTCATTCTCTAGTTGAAATGCAACACAGGCTTTGTAACACACTGAGTCGCTGCACTGGCAACTATTTGCTCAAAAAATATCTCAGTGGGCTCCCATGACTTTCAATAATTCAGAAACCTTTACAGTTTATACTAATATCTGCTTTCATTTCTTGCATACAGAAAGTGGATTAATACTCAGAATATGTCAAATTGAGGACTTTTTTTGTGCATGTTACAATTCGTTTTTCCTCCAAGAATTTTCCATTGGTGATATATTTAGTCTTCATATTTTCTCTACTGTATAACACTTTTAGAGTCACTGTGTAAAAATTTCTTTGTATTTCTACAGATTTTGAAAAGGTTCTTCCACAAAATGCCTTTCTTCTATTTTTTCTTTTTTAAATTCCAACTTAAAAAGATGTTTAAGTTGGAAGAAGATTGCACGGCATGCAATGATTATTTATTTGTCATGCACTAAACTGGCCCAGATGACTTTATAGAGTTTAAACCTGCTGAAGTGCTGAAGTAGACACCTGTATGGCAAATTATGCAGCGAAACCTGCTAAAGAGAAGATGTGCGTCTCATGCGTGTATGTTTAGGACTAAAAACAGGTGTACAAATCACCTTTCTCTGATTTTCCCCCTGTTAGCACAGATGTAAAACGGCTCCATCTACAATTACATAGAAGGAGCTCTTTATATGCAATATTTTTGTTGAGTGACTTTTGTGAATATTTATTTGAACGCATTTGTTTTTGATGGTAGATTTTGGTTGTTGCTGCTTGAACAGCTGCACCTATTGCCCAAAGTGCTGCAGGTACTCTGCACTTTATTGCATTGCGTGACTTCATGAACACATAAACTGAAACAGCAAACTCTGTATGTTGTATGCCTCCTTATTTACACAGACAGGATGTGAGTTATATCAACATATCTTATTTGGGATGGTATGATAAGGTGAAATGTCAGAATCAATATGAATCAGCTTTATAAGTGATAATACCCCCACTTAGTGTGCCAATATGACTTTATCACATTGTCACAGTCTGTATTTTTAACTAATAGCATATTGATAACTTGAAACTATGAGTTACTGATGGGTATACATCGTCCCATCATCCCATCTCATGGGATGCAACAATATCTTATACTTTTTCCAACTATGCCACCAGGAGGGCTCCCTACATATCTTTCTTTTTCCTGCAACATGTATGATACAAAACTATTAAAAGAAAAAAACCCTCTTAGAAATAAGAAGAGTGTCAGGAAGAAAGAAAAGTAGACCTGAAACACACCCTCTCCACTCAAAAGCAGACTTCCATTAAGAGAAAAGTGCATCTCTGCCTCTTCAGATTCCATTTGAAAACCTCTTTCTGACCACCTCACTGTTTTATTTCCACCTCTCAATGCATGGACCTCTCGAGAAAGAACTTGTCATGTCTGCCTCTTACAGGCAAAAAAACAAACAAAAAGAAGAAGTCGTGCCACTCTAATTTTAAACAAATATATTTTCCTTAAAATGCAATAATCAAATAAATATCTTAAAAAACAATATATTTTATTTTTATTAGTGTTTTTTATTCCCACACTGGTACTTCTTACGAGGTTTCAGCACATAAAATAACAACATGGAAGGACCCAAACTTGTAAAATTCTCCTTTGAAACTAAAGACAGTAGCATAGGAGCCATCTGTACAATTTCCCTATCCTGTCTCTGCCATATGGCAATGCATTGCATCTGTACGTTGCCGACAGGCAGTCAACCAATAGATATTTATACGTGGTGTGCATTCAATACTGAATGTACGTAATTATCAGTCTTCATAATTTTAACTGAAGAACTGCAGTGTTACACAAGTCTGACGTGCTTGCATTGTGAGACTTGCTTCTCGGTAATCACAGCAGGACCATCTAGTGGCCAAATTGTGTATTGATATAAGAATCACACAGCTACTGCCAAGCAGTCGATCTGTTTGGTAATGCTCAAAAGAAGTCTCGTGGGAACAGCTTGAGGGCTGTGTATCACAAGAAATCAGCAATAGTCTCCAGGCAGTACAATGCTGCTTTTCATTTGAAGATGCAATGCAGGACCAGTCAGCTACTCCTTCTCATAGTTGCATCTGCTGTCACAAAAGATATTGTTCTTCTATATGCTCTTGTGGAACACATCTTCAACCCTTAGATTTTTTTTATTAAGGTCCCAAAGCTTTAACAAACACCAGTGCCACCAACTGTCCTCCCACTGTCTAGTTTTCCTATGACTAAAATGTTCATTTCATGACCTCAGCTATCTTTTAATATATATTTGACCACTGAGCTCATAGAGTTGGTGGGCTATTTTTTAAAAACTGTTTTATTTGTCTAGCTAAATTACACCTTCATGCAGGGATTTGCAGCCATTTTTACTTGTGACCTATTTAAAATAAGTCGCTTTGTGATTTTTCTGACAGGTTCGACATATCAGTGAGACATGAGCTCTTTTTTAATAGATTCATATGTTTCATAATAATCACCTTTCCTAACAAACTAGATAGAAAAGAAAGACAAACAGAATTTGTGTCACAGAGCCATTTATTGTCTTTCCTGTTCTCTTTGTGTTCTTGTGACTGTTGGAACAGTTATTTTCTATGTTGCTATGTTATTTTCTGTCGTCCAGTTTAGGTGAGTGGGTACAAATTGTAGCCTCAGTTTTCCTCTTAGCTTACTGGAGTGGTACCTCGTGTGGTCTTCTGCTGCTATGGCCCCTCTGCTGTTGTACCTGCAGAAGTACTCTTCTGCATACTTTGGTTGTATCAAGTGGCTGTTCAGTTTACTGATGCTTTCCTTTCAGCCTGAAGCAATTGGGTATTTTCCTTTGACCTCTGAAAACAGCACATTTTCACCCAGAGAACTGCTGCAAACAGGATGTATTCTTTAATTTGGATAGTTATATTTCAACCCTAGACGTGGTTGTGTGGAAAAATCCCAGTAGTTCAGCAGCTTCTTAGACCAGCCCAGCTGGCACCAACAACCATGCCACGTTTCAAGTCTGTTAAATTGCTTTTCTTCGACATTCTGATGCCTGGTTTGAACTTCAGAAGGTTGGCTTGACCATGTGTACATGCCTAAATATATTAAGTGTGATTGGCTGATTAGAGGACGGGGAACTCCAGGCCTCAAGGGCTGGTGTCCTGCAAGTTTTAGATGTCCTTGATCCAACACAGCTGGTTTGAATGGCTAAATTACCTCCTCGACTTGTCTTAAAGTTCTCCAGAGTAAGAGTCCTGGTAATGAGCTAATCATTTGATTCAGGTTTGTTGATAGGGTGATATCTGAAACCTGCAGAACACTGGCCGTTAAGGCCTGGAGTCTGCACCCATGATTTAAAGCAGTTCACTCATTTTAATTCCAGCTCTGTGACTGGACACTCCCAGCTAGGGTCATGCAGTTGGATGGCTGGCATTAGAAAGCACCACACTGTTTGATTCATAAAAACTCCACAGACAGTATCATTTAATGATTTATTGACATTTACTTTTTTCCACCATGGTTTCTCTTGATACCAGTAGTACTTACCATAAAGTTTCTTTTTCATTTAAATTACATTTATAATGTTTTACTCACATACACATTTATTGTTTAATTTTCTTATTGCAATAAACAAGAGTAGCCAGAATGAGTCAGGTATTGCTACAATTCGCCATACAAAGTCTTTGTCCCTCTAATAATGAAATTCAAAAATAAATTTATTGGCAAGACAAAATTACACCATAGCCTCTCCATCTCTCTCTCTCTGCTCTGAGAAAGACCGAGGGCAGAATAAGGCTAAGGCTAGTAGCCTAAACACAGCTAACATGAAATACCTGCCCAGAAAATAGGAATACCATTTATTTCCCACATGTGAATGATGAAAATGACTCTCTGGTGTTTACCACTTTATGAACATATCAAGGACAAGTGGTGCTACTTGACTGACCTACCAGGGACATCTTTGCAGTACTTTGATAAGGCTCGGTTATTGGTCAACTCTGTGACCTGAATCCAGAACGACTGATGAATCTCACTGTACCAAACACACGCAGGTTTTTGTCCCCATAGTTGTGTTAGGCCACTTTATAGATCCAGGCTGCCTCTGTCTCTGATTGGTGGGGAGTGGGGAGAGAGCAGGTCCCAACACACACTAGAATACTTATAGTACACACACCAACAGGAAGAAAAGCAAGGATGCTGGAATAGCATTTCACTCACAAAATGAACTTGAAGATTACGTTCAGCAACAAAAAGAGCACAATGGTGGAAGCTGACACAGAGCCAGCTTCTCTTTTTAAGTAATGGCATTGATAATGTTCCTCTAGGTTTTCACTTAGACATATTTCTCACACACAGAAAACAAAAAACAAAAACAACAACAAAATGCAATTCGTTAAGTCCAAATAAAACAAAAAACCCGTTGAACAGATCTAGCTTTAATCCCTTGATACCTGGTGTTGTACCCTGTTCCCCAAGCAGAGATTACCATAGTAAAAAGGCCCTTTAATATGAAGGGTCAGTCCCTATCTCCAGCTACACCTCTGTCTCTCCGTCCCCACCTCAATCCCCTCAAGAAGTTGCACTCCCCATGGAAGAACAGAAAAGTCAGTCAGCTGGCGTGCTCCCACTTTACACATGACTCCAGACAATATGTCACAACATGTCACAATGATAACAAGTCACTCTGATAAAAATTGCTCATTGCATTGCAATATTCAGACAAAGGTAAGACATTAGAGCTCATTGCTTCTCAATGAAAGGGCACAGTGTACATCTCGTTCAGAAAAGGGTGTTAGTTTCAAGCTGTCAGGCAAGATAAGTCTGCTGCTGCTTAGCTAGTGTTTGTGGCTCCCAGTCAGTCGATCTGCCTGTTTATATCATTCTGGCTGAGTCCCTTATATAATTCACTCTCTGATAATTTCACCCTTTTCCTTGTTTCCCTTGATGACGTTAATAACATTTCCTACCTACAAAAATATTTTTTTTATCATGTTTTCTATTTTGCTCTTTTTTTTAAATGTGTGATATAAATGTAAACCAACAGTCCAAACCAAACAAGAAAAACAAAGTGCTCACCAGTCTTTGTAAAAGAAAACAAATCATGGTGTGTTTCATGGCTTTCAGTTGTAAGACAGGAAGTATCAATAGATGCCTTGGGCTGGACGTCTCGGCTCCTGCTCCGGGCGGCTTCTCTGGGCTTCTGGCTTGGTTGTCGCTTCAGCTCAAGATCATTTGTCAAAGAATGTATTTGGCTTTCAACTTCCTCTATTTAATTTGTTGCCTTTCAGCATCGTGGTTGCCAGTGTTGATGTGTCTCCCACAATAGACTCATATGAACCTTTGGATAGTAGGGAGCTGAGGAGAAGGATAGTGCAGGAATTGGGAGAGGTCAACCCAGTGATGCAGAACGCTGTGTAGCATCCTGTTGTGAGGTGGCATGGAGAAGAAATTAGGACAAAGGGTGGTACACAAGTCATACTTGCCCACCTACACAGTCAGCCTGCGAATGAAGACCAGGGAGATGTGAGGATGATGATTGGCTTTGAAATAATCCAAGCTGAACCATAACACCTATCCTCTCTTTCTCTCTCCCAAGTACTTTATTTCAAACTGCTGTTCGTAAAACTGCAGAATTCTTTCCATAAAATGCAATCAAAGCTAAAGATGGTGATCGAGTATTTAAACCCGGCAGTACAATATGTATTAATGTGTGATTTCTGCTGCTTCTTTCATCTCCTCTCCCCTTTGGTGAGCCTATTCTCTGACTGTTATGGAGGTTGGCAGATGTGCCTTGTAGCAATTTTTGTTGGTACAATCTATTTTAAAACATATTTGTCCAGGCCTGTGTATGTCTGCAAGTTGCCTGTGGTGAATCCATCCAGTGACCCGTGCCAGCCTTCCTCTCACCTCACCCTCTCAGGAAATGACAGCAAAGAACAACCCCCCACAGTCACTTTTCTGCTCCACTCATCCCCCCAACCATCAGACATGTTCGGATGTGGCTACCACCTGCCTGTCAGCCAAAGTCATGTTGTATCTAGCGGAGACCTAATGTCACAAATTGGAGAGCTGCTGACCTCCGGCACGGAGCAGGACATGTACAGTGCCGTTGAAGCCTGTACAGCTACATGTGGCGCACACAGCAAAGACTGATGGAAGCAGCTACCCTACTGACATAACATTATTGTCTTTGTTTTTGAGGTGCATAGGATGAGAAGAACACATTTAGCCATGGTGACAGGTGGAAAAAACAACCTGTCCCGGAATAATTATGTAACACTACATGTGGTTGAACGTTTCTAGAAAGGTCTGCATGTGTTTCTTCTGTAGCTATTGAGGTGGCCACAAGAGGGCCACAGTGCAAGGGAGGGACCAGGAGGTGAGAAATGTACAAGGGAGTTTGATGCATAATGACTATCAATCTCTGATAATTCCATCTGCAGATCACTCAAAAAGTCTTTTGAAATGGAGGGAGAGTGAATGGAGAGTTTCAGGTAAAGGGAAAAATAGAGACTTGTACTCCTTTCCACTGTTCCCTTGCTATTCTCTCAGTCAGATATTTATATTATCAGATTTTTTCCCCCCCCTTATCAATTGCTGTTAGTTGATCATGTTTGTAGCTTCACAGTGTGCTTTTGGAGTGGATGTTCCTGACTGGCTGAAGTCAGATGGTTATGTGTCAGTAAGGAGAGAAGAGGATTGGCCCGTGGGTGGTGCGGATGGGCCCCGGGGCAGGTCTCAGGATTGCGTGGCTGAGAGGCGGGCCTTGCAAAATGTGATGAGGTGGATGGTGTGCGGGAGCAGCCGCGCGGAGAGCCAGTGGGTTTGAGGACGCTGCGGCGGCCATTGCTGCCGCAACCGCCAAAGGGTTGGGCAACAGCCCGGCACCCAAAGCTTTGGTGAGATCCTTGGAGAAGGTCAAAGAAGACTAAAAACAGAATCAATAACAGTACAAGACAAGAGAGAAAGGGGGGGTAACATTGATTAGTTTCAGAAGGTCAACACATGCAAGTGAAACAACTGTATACCATGCACTTTTGTAATTCAGAAAGTTCAGTTAGGTTGAGGTAGGAGGATGAAGACAGAACACCTGATGGGCTTTTGTGGAGATCAAACCAACTCCAAAGCTTCACAACCTTAATGTCCTTAAGTATCACTGGCTATCTGATCTCTGGAGTTCAGGTGTGCTTTGTCATAGGAGCTAAAAATCAGCAGTAAAATGTTACCGTTAGATCAGCTCCCCTGTGCTTCTTGTGTCGGCTGAGGAGAGGGTTAGGCTTGCCCGCCATACCATCCCGGTGCCTTCGACTTGATATGTGCTAAAAATAAAGATCACAGCAAACTGCATTACTTTTCCTATTGCCTTACACCATGGACACTGACTGGAGAAAACATAATGAAAAAATACAGCTATGTAATTACACAATTGTTTAACTTGAATAAACATGAATAAAACAACATAATTTAAAACTTAGAATATTGACCACTGAATTGATCTTGTGCTTAACAAGAAAAATCAAATCTAAATGCCTGTCTAATCTTTAGATTTTAGGTACAGAAATATATCCACTGCTACCTTACCTGTTTTAGTTGCAGTTCAGAGTTGACCCGCACATTGCAGATCTCACAGTGGAAGGTTCGTTCCTGAGTGTTGGGGTCCACCGGCCCTCCTCCCTGCTCTCCACTGGGCTTGGGGCCCAGGCGAGGATATGCCTTTATAGGGCCCAGCCCGCTCCGTGCCTCCAGGATAGTTTTGTGTTTCGTACCTGCACAGAAAGAAAGCATTTAAAAGCTAATATAATAAAATGAAATAATAAGGTGCCAGCGAAACATTAATTGTAACATATGAGTCATACTGCTTCCACCTGTCTGAAGTAAAATGAGACTGGACAGAATTTCTCTGTAGTTAACATTGCAGAACAAAGACAGTGAAAAGTGTCACATCATGGCAGAAAAAAAGAAACAACCAAACTACAATCCACTGGCTTGAATAACCACATAGCACAGCACAACAGAAAGAATGAATTCTGCCTGAAGTTGTAGAGCAAAGCTTTCACCACAGGAGGGCAGCAGTCACCCATCTGTGCAGTTAGTGATCTGGAAGGTCAACTCAAAGCCTTTCTAATAATAACCTAATAATATAAGTGATTCATGATGTTTGACTCAGTGGAGTGCATAGGATAAGGCCAAATAGTGTGTACTGTACAATATTACATCCATTATCCATGATCCACATTTGGCATTATCAATGAAAACGTGAATCACTGAGCCTTTAATTGAACATTAAAAAATACTGACAATAAATGTCAGTGTTTGGAAATTTAGGAGCACATTTTTATGAGATGCAGGCTTGGTCTGCTCTTTAAATGGCTCTTCAATCAGGCATTTGTTATGCTGTAAGAGCATGGCACCCTGCTTTGTACCGTTTGAAGAGATCAGTATTATTCCAAACATTAACACTGCTGAGCAAAGAAACAGGGCAGGTTACATAGCAGATTGTAGCAACCAGACATATATTACTGAAGCTCCTAGAGCCGTTTCTCGGAAATGAAGCTGTTTGACATAAAAACAGATTAGCCCCTTAAGATGTTTGCTCGACAGAGCCCATTTGGCATGACGTTATCTACTCAGTCATGAGTCAAAAAATGAAAATAAAAAAATAAATAAAAAGCTAATTTCCTATTAACAATATGTTCTTCATTTGGACAAGTCCGCGACTAGGTGCAGCTGCAAAAAGGACATCATAGAGAAATATGTTTTTGCATACTGCACATTATTGTGTGTGCTAAAATAGTCTCTCATTAAATAATCACACATTTTGTACTTGGATGAAACCTCCCACTCCATTTTACTGCAATGCTCCACTACACTGAAAAACAGCATTCCACTGTCTTTGGCTCTGACTTTGAAATACTAATTTGCCCCACTCCCTAAATTCCCTTTGAACAGTGTTAAGGTTATAGAAGTTGGACAAGTCATCTGGGTGGGGTGGAAGTGGGGAGCATGGAGGCTGTGGGCTTCAGTGTGGAGAAAGGTTTGCTTGTGGCCAAAAATGTGCTCTTGGGTGCCTGTTTTTGCTTTTGTTCTATTTTGGTCTGGCAATGGCTGGCCCAGTGGAATTTTTTTTTGACTTTGCAAAGTTGACTCAGGGTGTAAACCAAACAAAAGGGGACAACATTGTTGCATGAATGTTACATGAAGTAACATGACTTACAAATCTTTATTCCTGTTTTCATGGTTTTGGGCAGGTCATGGTGTGCCACGCACACTGTTCATGTCTGGGTGTCTGTGTGACATATGCTTCCATTTTTGAACCCTGCTAATACACACAGTTCTGATTTTTAGAATGAGTGAACTTGATTGTTTCCAGATGGCTTTCCTCATGCAGTTTTAGCTATTTCAACTTTTAGTCATTCAGGGTTTGAACTCTGGAGCCCACTGGGTGCCAGCAGGCTTTGACCCAGGATCATGTTTAAGCTGTCTATGATCTTTTTTAATACTATAAACACAGTAAATGTGCAAATGTTTTCTTGGAGACAGATACAACACAAAAATACTGATGTGTTTTTGGGAAATTGATAAACTAGTAATCAGAGGGTCAAAAAATATGAATTTCCAAAATATACAAAAGGTAATATATACATATTAGTGAATGCAATGGCAATATTATAAGTGCAGCATTTATCACCTGCTTTCATATCTGACTCAGCTAGCTCAGGCTGAGCGTACTCTAAGCAGAGAGGAGTCAGTCCTTTATAAGGTTTATTTGGGGCCTCTGTCTGTGGTGAAGTTTAAGTGTACTTCATGCATGTGCATGTGCATATACTATACTCCCAAAAGACAGATAGAAAGCCCAGCACATACATATTGTCCTGTGAGACATGCAGCAGCTATCCAAGTATGCAGTGCAGAAAGGATTATAGGATGCAGCCAGTTCCTCGAGGTATATGTAACCATGAAAGTGTTGTCGTGTGAAAGCCGTCTGACAGAATATTTAAACCCATATTATGGTGAGCTCACCCACACAATAACCAACATTTCCTTTTATTTCCCCATTCATGCTGTGGTTTTAACCCCTTAAACATCACATTTCTTCTGGATGCTCCCCACTGCTAAAATCGAATCTTTCAGCGGGGAAGGTATATTTACACTAATTGTGCCAAGAGTAAAATAAGAACGTAGGCTTGACAATGGCTGGGATTCCAGTATTAAAGACTGGACTGACACAGGTGAGGTACAGATGACCCTTGAAAACAAGAAATCCTTGGTTACAGCGACCAAGCATGTCAATATTAAAGTGATTCATCTGCTAATTAGTATACTTTTAATGCTCTCTACTAAATTAACAAAAGCAAAGAAACTTACCAGTGCCATTTTTAAATACACTAAATATGTTAAGGTTTGATAAAACCGAGTGTAAATTTATAACATAAAGTCTTCAAAAATTACATTTTTTTTCACATAACACCTTCTGTTTTAGTACCTATGAGATGCTACAACAACTCAGTAATGTGCTATTAATCATCATTCGCATTATTGTTGAATTTGCATTAGGGCTACTGCGATAATTCCAGGAACTCAGTAGATACTTTGGGAGTTGTTTAAAAGACAACTCTTACACACTGTAAAATATACAAAACTATAGCTGCCAATTCAAGTGCACAACAGCCTCAGTGAAATTCAAACTGGGCTTTCAATAAACTGAGCAATTCTTTCAGTTGATTATCTGGAAATGCAAAAAAAAGAAAAATAAAAACAAATTGTTTAGACTTGCTACTTTTTGTGATTTTTAATTTCTTCCTTAGGAATTCAAAACAACATCTCTGCAAGTGTTTGCATGTGTATTTCTTGGCTAAAGTCCAGGCAGGATGTGATACATTTTGTTTCCATCAAAAACACTGTGGCTTGTGCAAACAGAGAGGAATCCAAGCCAAACTTCATCAGAACAAGAAAGGCGCCACAGTTAATTCCAGATGACTGTATTTCCCGCTAAATTCAGGAAAGCTCAACTATTTCAGCATATCATTGCTCAGAGATTACTGACCTTTGTTGTGCGCCTCCAGTTGTGACAAGGAATTCACAGCCACCTTGCACAGTGCGCAGTACAACAGCTTCTTGGCCTTGTCCTCCTCGGTCTCTGGGTTGGATGGGCTGTTTGAAGCCGAAATGCCAACGGCTCCTGAAACCGGGGTTCCTGATCCAACCTGCTCTGAGTTGGTGAGGCTGCTCCCGCAGCCTGGGGAAGAAGAGGTCGGGGGGACCAGTGGAGGAGTAGGGGTGGGAATGAGAGGGCACACTGATGGCACAGGGGAATCCATGGGTGGGGTAGGTGGGGTTTGAAGAGGTGGAAGGGGCCCCGGTGCCAGTAAGGGTCCATTTATCCGTGACATAGGCCGTGTTTCATCTAAAATAAAAACCCAAAAGAAAACAAAACAGACAAACAAAGGAAATTCTAATTAAAGTCACATCCATCCATCCATTGTCTTCTGCTAATCCTTACCATAGCTGGAGCCTACCCCAGCTTGAAAGTGACATATTAAATGTAAAACTAAATAACTAAATAAAGATGATTACGAAGAACAAAGAGTTCACAAGTCAAACAGCAATAAAAAAAACATGGAAACTCTGTGTAACCACATCCCTACCACTCCCAATTAAATATGGAAGCCAAAGTCTGCTCCATAGATCAGAACAACCAACATAAAGCGCATAAAGCACATTTAGAAGTGCTTTTTATTTCCTATACTGCAACCCATAATTGGTCAAAAGAGTTCCTTTTAATTTGAGTTACACATAAAGTAGATCAGAGGAGGAAACCATATGACCCAAATATAAGAACGGATGGGCAAGCGTTTAATGTTTCCAAGCTTTTTGAAGTTTTCAAGTCAATTTGTCAGTGCTGTGGGCTCATCTTATTGAAATGTTTCCAAGGAAGCAGATAATTGAACCTGAGCATGTTTTGGCTTTTCCCCTCTGTCCCACCCCCGTTATTTTTGGCTGGGATAGAAGTAATAATGGCATTTGCTCTGTCAACGAGCAATACATGCAATCCAAAGAAAATATCTTTAAGTGAGCGCTCCTCTCACTTTTTCTTTTCCATGCCCTCTGATTTTCTTTCTATAGCTTCCTCACTGCATATGTTCATGGTTACATTTTCTGTATTTATCGCACAACATGTTTATATACAGTATACGTTTCGGACTAGCCACCCACATACCTTTGAGCTTTCAGCATTCACTGAGCACTCAGTGTTAGCTGAAGAAAGACATCTAAATTTGGATGGAGTATTCAGAGCTACCCTCATTAGCAGGGACTATAAGGTCTTTCTCCAAACTCCACTCCACAGGATACAGCGTCAAAACCAGGTCTCTATGGATTAGGGTACTAAAGGGATGATATATGATATTTTCTGGGAAGAAAACAAAAATTCACTCTAATTGCTTAACTTCTTTTTATAGATTCTATCATACGTTCACAGAGCATGCGATTTTTTCACATGACAGAGACCATGATATGTTTATCTATTGTTCCACTTTTAGTCTTATGACTTTATATTGTTTGGTATATTCTGGCCTGGCTACCACATTGCATCATCTCTCATGAAGATGCCATTGTAAGTGCTTTCCATTCCACTACTTTCCAAGATTAGAATTCCCTCTCTTTCCAGATTGGAAGTTTCCAGCTGCAGAGCTGCTGGCTGCACAGAGCATTTCTCAAACAGATGTTCCGTTAAAAAGAAGAAAAAAAGGACTATCTCTAGCTCTATGTGGCATTGAGGATCCCATAAAGCAGTCCTGGATCAAAGTGCTGTTTGAGGTTTATGACTCATAATATGCCCACTTTTTCACAGCACTGACTGAACATGTTAAGCTGAGTAAAGAGCTTGTACCTGTAAGTGCAAAAAGGCAGCATAACAGAAAAACCAAAGTAGTTATCCGCACTGTTATGAGCTTTATGCACACTTAGGCACGTGTCTGTGCAAAGAAATGTTAAGAAACAAACCCCAAATCCACATCTATAACATTTGGTTTTGGTTAAAATCAAATGGGAATGGTGTTGGCTGGCCAAATAGTAATGAGGGACTTCATGATCCATGATGGCCTGGAGTTCTGCCACACCAAACCAACATCCAGTCACTATTGCACCTTATACAGCACTACGGTAAATGTGTCATGCACTTTTCCCCCTTTAGGCTTCCAGGCCAAAACAATTCACAATCCACTGAAAATCATATTTCATTATATTAAATATTTTTATGTCATTTTTACTGACTAAAATTTAAATCATGAAACATCCTCTCAGGGTAGCAATACAAAGCGCTATTTTTTCTTACCCCAAGATTCCCACTGTCAGTTACTCCATTGTTTAAGAGTACAGGATACTCTCTAATGAGACTTGGCTCTCTATTGGCTAACTGACCATTCTCTCTGCTAGCTGACCTCAAATTACAACAGAAGACAGTATTATTCATGGGGAGAGGTCAACAGAAGGATAACTCAATCCAGATGCTTTATACTATGGCCTGCTATGCCTGTATTGCCTTGGTCCACTTCAGGAAATTAAAGCTGGTATGGTATGCTGTCCATGTGGAAAAGTTTTGTTGTTTAAGCTGCAGGATTTAATACAGCGTTTTCTTCAATCCATATCCTTAATCCCTATTCCTGAAGTGTGAACATTTATTTTGTCTGATATAATATTATTTGATACAGCGTGATGTTTACACACCATATAAAGCACATAAACTGCATGTATGTGGCTGTGGCTTGGGAGGTAGTGCAGGTCACCTACTAATCGGAAGGTTGGTGGTTGGTGGTCTGTGGTTCGAGCCCTGGCACAGTCTCCAGACTGTATCTTTGGGCATGAAACTAACCCATATGAATATGTGTTAATGATAGATAGCACTTGCATAGGAAAAGCAGAGGAAAAAGTGCTTGTTTAAATGGGTGTGAATGGGTAAATGAGCCAAGCTGTAAAAAAGTGTTTGACTTAGAGTAGAAAAGCGTTATATAAAAACCAGTCTATTTACTGAAACAAGAGAGTTATTGTTGGTATGATTCTGTTGTGTGTAGGTGGAAAATTACACAGGGATACTTTTGCTTTGTTTACTTTAAATGCCAAAAGAAACTAATGTAATATAATCCCCACCCTCCCCCCTCATGGATCCAATATCCCCCCACCCCCATAAAAAGATGCTTGCAGTATTTAGAGTTATAAGTCATCATCTTACTTGTCAGGCAAAACTGCCAGGAGGTTTACGGCAGGGCTAGTGTACTGACTTTAAGTGTGAGCGGTTTGTCTCTTTGTGTGTGTGTTACATGTGTGCCATAGGCAGGATGACTCTGAGTGTCACCACTGCCCCATTATGCCCATTCTCAATGATTAACGAGCTACGAAACTCAATGCTGGCCTTACAAGAGTTGAGCCACATTCATAATGCATTTGGGTGCCTTTTCCCTGTCTGGCCTGCATCCGAACCCTGAGTCATACACACACGGACACACACACACACACACATAAACACACCCACACAGTCATCCCATATCAGGTACTGTTATTTCAGGCAGTTTCATCAAATAATTCACAAAGGAGGTAAAAAGCTTGTGAATTCCCAGATTTCCTCAATTAGACTCAAATGCTAACAATAAACAGACAGAGAATGAAGCAAACATTAGCTCAGTGTAACTCAATACTACAGTCACCTCATAGCCATGCAATTTGAACCCTCACATGAAAGTCATCTGTTTAATTGACCTTGGGTGTGTGCGCCTGTGAATGTTTGCGTGGACCAAAGAGTGCTATAATATCAGGGTGGTTTTAACAGAGCCCCTCATTAGGATGGGAGTGTCAGACGGCAGAGGGAGAAAGAGGAAAGGAAGGAAGGAGGGAAGACCAGAGTTTCTCTCCAGTACAACAGCTGGCTCTCCATCACTTGCAGGCTCAGCCAAACCTCAGCTCACCAGTCCAAATTTCTCAGAGCCAAGTGCCTCCTTTTTTGGGGACAACGCTAACCACATATCCTTTGACTGGTGTAAAACTCACGACCTGCTCTGAAAATCTGTAAAGTTCAAGAAGCACTCTTTAAACAATATTGGATAACCTATCACTGTTTCGGCCCTCAGCAAGTTTGTATATGTACTCTGTTTTTGATATGTTAATCACAAATGATGGTGAATTCTTTTTCACAAACGATATATCTGATAGTAGCTCAGACTATCTGAATGTCTAAAATGACATTGATATTGTATGAAATCTGAGAGCAACAAAGAAGCTGTTGATAAGAAATGTTGCTCAGCATCAAAGACACATACTGCTCTATGTTATGAGGTGAATTCCACCAAAACTCCACAGCCCAAAAAATTGTCTGTTCCCCAGACAGTAGTTTCCCAGTTTTGAAATGGACATCTGGCTCTCCTCTGAGAGACACCCCCGCCCAACCACTGAGATCACACTCAGGGCATGCATACACGAACATATATACACACAAACAAGCATGCAAAAAAATCAGGAAGAGGCAAGGTTCCAAGGTCACAAGAAAGACCCTTGGTTGGAAAAAGGCATTTTTCACATGTTGCTACTTTCAGAGCTCGATCATTGCAGGCTTGTTTGGCTTCTCATGATCTAGAAGTTCACTGCAGGAAGCTTCACTAATGAGGACTTATCTTAGCTGACCTTAGATCCCCCATGAGGGAAGACAGCACAAAGGACTGGCCTTGGTACTTGCCTGAGACTAACTATAAGAAAACCTTAAGTGTTATGTTCATGGACAGAAAGAGACACTGAAATGTGAAAACCTTTGCTTCTTCGCTCTGGCATGCTGCATTGAGGCTTTTTCTGGACCTGAGTTTCAACTTTTAATTTATCGTGTTTGCTCTGTGCCCTCCCATCAATAAGGTGGAAATGTCTGGTAAACAGTAGGCTACAGAAACCTTTGTAAATGTCACCAAAACACGACTGGTCTGTTCATTGGCTGGCGTTTGATCCGAGACCAGAGTGGTGGCACTAAGGGAATGGAAATGTTTGGTGCACAGAGAAGAATGGCAGACGCGCACAGAACCCAGCCTCTAAATTATACTGTGAAATGCAAAGATGAACCAGAGGGATAAAGGAAAGACTAAGACAACGGGAACAAAGTTAAAGATCCTTTGCTAAAGAAAGATCTTGCACTGCTTTGATCACGCCTTGCATCATATTAACTAATAAATTAATCTGCTTACAGTTAATTACTTTTCATTAAAGTCAGATCAGCTGCTGTTTCTGTCCTTTTAAAGGCTGGATGAGATTTTCGTTTATTCATTTGTCTTAATCAGTCTTAGGACTCTTTACTGACAAGTGGATGGTCAGGCAACGTAGTCTATGTTGAATGTGGTATACATGGTGTGGTACCTCCCACTAGCTTACTACTGTACAAAGACACACCACACACCACAGAGAGGTTGATGCAGAGAAACTGCTATGTTGCCATACCATGTTCTCCTGCTCATAGACTAAATGGATTGACACAAACCAGATTTAGATTGAACAACTAAATAAAGTCTTGCTGTTTATCTTGACTAATACAGAAGATTAACTCTGGCACAGTAATGATGATTCGATCAGCCTTTCATGTCATGTTTGATTTCAGCGTAAGAGGTCTACTTCTACTACACCCTACTGTGACTGAAAAGGATTTTTTTAAATGACCAAAAGTTTTGAAGCATAGTTGGGAAAAGCCAAAATAGTCTGGATGTCAGTGGAAAAAAGAAAATTCATACAAACTTTGTGGCATATTGTAATTGTTTTGAATGGGAAATAGACTCCTGAATATCCTCTTGTCTAAAAAAACTAATCCATTATGAAAGACTCTGGCCAATCAAATTCAGACCTGATCAGGTGAGGAAAAGCAGAGCTTGAATCCCACATGAAGCCAAAAGTCTGTCTTTTATCAGACTGGACATACTTTTATTAGGTGGGGTATTGGGAAAGAGAGTGGAGAGCTGCAGGAGGAGGGCAGTCTATTTTCAAATTTTGTTGGGGTTGTTTTCCTTTTGTATAATTCTGCCTACTTGAGCTTGAAGGCTCAATTAGGTTTAATAATATATGTTTTTGTGACTAGGCATTAAAGGCAATTTGAACTTATTGCTTCAGCTATTTCCAACTCCTAAAGGTCAAAGCAACTTTCCCGATATTCTGAATTTCAACATTTTCATCTGAACTCTCATTACAATTATACTTAAAAGACTCCCCCAATACTGGCAACTAAAAACTGTGTTTAGCTATTAATCTTCCAAATTAAATGTTTATTTTTTGGATTTTAGGTGGGACAGTCATTATCAGTCTCAGCAGTCTGTGGAACCGCACTGTCTACTATAAGATGTGCTGCGGCTAAATCCGACGACAAATAGAGACGAGATGCTCATAAAAACAGCAATACGCTGCGGAGCCACTGTGATTAGACGCTTTTGTTATTCTTGCATATTTTTCCATTCATTTTCTGACAAAGACCATAAGCTGCCGAACATCCTGCGTGGACTGAAATGATTATTTCAACAAGGTTCTTCCCGAGCCTTTTCCCAGTTTTTGCTTGTGGCAGTAGTTTTCTGTTCTCTCACCTGCTTTGCTGGGCTCACTGTCTGGGGCTGTGCCAGGAGCTCCAGGCGGAGATGGGGAGGAGGTGGGGGGCAGGGTGTGAGGTTTGTCTCCTTCTTGAGGACGACTCTTAGAGGTCTCGATGCCTTTGACTCTCCTGGCATGGCGGTTCCCTTTGTAGTGGGCTTCTGCCTGGCTCTAAAGAAGAGCATGGAAAGGAAAACAAGTTATTTCATTAGTGAACACCGATGCCAAGATGCCCAGGTATATAACAGGGTGGAATTAGACTCGGTGTGGCACCTGGCATGCATGCATGCCATTATGACAGCACGATATTTAATATACTCTGGGGACTAAAGTCATGATGAGCAGCAGGCAGTGAACAGAGAGATAGATTACATGCAAGATATTAAGAGAGATGCAATGATGAAGTGACTGCCTGCCCTCCTTGTCCCGTTATTTGAATTAAGAACAAATTATGAAGGTGTGTGTTGAAACATTAACAGTATAGGTTATGTGGAGGATTGGCTGAAGTTGCCATGCCTGCTAACCTAAGGATCAGGAAACTGCCATATAAGCCCGGAGGGCGCATTAGTCCATTTCTAAGCCTTCCCTTTCTTCCCTTTCTTATGCACAGTCTTGGAGAATATACATCATCTACTTACTACACGGCATCAATGTTGTTGTCTTTAATATCTGGCAGGAAATATAAAATAAGGATCTGCACGCTCAGCCGGCATTCCAGCAAAGACAAAAAATGCTGCAGAGATTTATTATGGAAGTCACTGTGTCCAATCTCCTGATGACATGCTCTCTACTGCCTAATGTGTTTGCTCACTGAGTAAACAAGCGAGTTATTTGTGAAGAGAATATGGGACATTATGGGAGTCTGTTTCTAGCCTCTGTGTTACTGCACAGATGTTTGGAAGTCGGGTAAAATGCGGCGTATGTGATGCGGGGTTGCTATACATAGCTGTCTGGCTTCACAGTATGGTGACTATAAAACAGAAACACACGTTATTTCACTGGCTCACTGACTCCCTCTCACACACACACACTCACACAAATATAGGATTATGGTCCCTTTTTTCATCACCCCTCTCTCACAGTATGTGTCCAACTATGAAAAAATAAGTAGCTACTTGCTGATACAGACATATTCAGTCAGTACTGCACTTGTAAGTCAAGTGAACTGATGTGCCATGGCACGTGCTGTGTCGGCCACATGATTGCATCAAGGGACCAATGATGAAGATATTTATTAAGTAGCAGGATTACAGTTGGTTACCAGGGATGAGTCATTGACAGCTGCCTCAGGAATTTGACTGACACTTAGGACATCGTACTGACCAGAGGCTCAAGTGTGGCGATAGACTGGCTCGGCAAAACAGGCAGGGGGTGATGAGTAATGTTACCGAACCCTGTTGTCTATATTTGCTTTGTGTGTGTCTGTGTGAGTGTGTGAGTGTGTGCCTGTGCCTGGCAGCATCTATCAAACGAGCTGGCATGGCAAACACTGAGCACTGGCTGAAGCAAGTAAGAAGATCACATGTTTCTTTTAAACCAGGATGACACATCAGGCTGTAACTGTACCCTGTCAAAGGGGTCTTAAGGACCTGCACTTGCAAAGCCTACAGATCAAGGTGGAGAGAGCTGCATGCAGGCAGAAAGGGGTGGAGGTGTAGACTGCTGAAAGAGAAGTAATCTCTCATGATGAAGAGGGGAATGTGGGAAAATTAAAAGGTATATGGCAGTGCGTGGCAAAGTGGGCACAGAGGTTTTCTTGACTTCTCCCAGCAAGTCAAAGGGATCAACTACCAAGCAGCTGAGTGTCACTGTGAGGTCCTGGGCGGAGAGGAGGGAGGGAGAATGAAGGGAAAAGGAAGCACAGGGAACTGAAAGTCAGAGAAGGTAAACGCAAAAAAAGCTGCTCTCAGAATGGAAAGGATATAAAGAGACACAAATCTCAGAGAGAATAAAAACTGCACCACGCCAGTTTGTGATGCATGTGTTTCATTATGCAGAGAGTTTGAAGTGAACAACTGCTTTCCTACATGATGATCACTCTGAGGGGGGAGTTGTGTTATTAAAGCAGAGCTACTGCAGAGCTGCATTTCTAAAGGAAGAAATAGGAAGAGAGGGAGAAAAAGAAAAGAGAGACAAAAAGCAAGCAAGAAGCGAAGTGAATATGGTTGGAGGAGAAAAGATAAACGTGACGTGAGCAGGGAGGAAGCGGATGAAAATAAGAGATGCATATCAGCATACTGCAGCAGTTGTGACGCTGGTCAATGCAGCTCCACAGAGCCTGTGATGTCACTAATGCAGCGTGGCATCAAGGTTATTCTGCATAAACCACCATTAAGTTCTTTACACGGACACACACAATGCAGAGACAATGGGGCACAAACTGCCTCCCCCCTTATCCTTTCCTCCTGCCCCTCCCCTTCAAGTCTCCTCTCTACCACTTTCCCAAGATGCACTGGGGCTGTCAGAGCCAGACACTAATCCATGCCCTTGACGAATGCATCTTATAATAAGTAGTGGCAGGCAATTTTGGGCATTTCCACACAGTAAATAATGCAGCATGAGAGAGGGAGACAGCCAGCAAGAAGGGGAAAAGGTTCTTTGGAGAGAGAGAGACAGGCAAAAGAAGAGAGAGAGACAGTAGAGAATGATCATATGGGATGAAAGAAATTATGGCAAAATGATGTGGGAAATGAAGAGAACGTGGGTGGGAGACAGGAGGTAAAGCAAGACAAATACAGTAGCCATGACATTCCATAAAAAGCCCACTCGCTTTCTTCTTTGACCCAAAATGTTTTCAGCTCACATGTGGCAGATAAAGGAAAAGAATGTCTACATCAAGGACAGTGCCCAAGCTTGAAAATGAAGCTGAGAATGCAACATCAGATTCTCCTGAAGTATTTCTCACTGCATTATCTTCATCCATCATATATTCATTTGAATTTGATTTCACTAGCTCAGAGGCCCACGTCCTCATTTTAGGTTTGACAGCGTTTTAGTAGGTAAGTGAATGCTTTGACATGAATCGAGCTGCGGTTTGGTGAAAGGCCTCGAAGGGGACGGCAATGGCTCCCGGGCCCGGCAGATCCCCATGCACTAAATAGAAATGAAGAAGTCAAAGAATTGAGAACAAGGAGGGAGGAAGGGTGGGGCACGTAAACGAGAATGAACAGCTTGCAGAACTGGAGGAACCTATATAGATGACAACCAGAAGGAGAATACATAATCTCCAAATAAAAACAAAAATACTGGCATCTGCCTGTATTCCTGTCATTCTCCCAGTAGATACATAAATGGTATCAATTTAAAAGTTCTAAATAGCCACATTCTGGACTTATCCCATTTACAAGACTTTAAGGAAACTTTGACCTTGGGGACGAGATCGCTGTGATTCAAACTCGCCTGAGATTTTAGTAGATACACCTATGCTTTCAATTTAAAGCTCCTACATTGCCTCATTCTCAAGTGATCGCATTCACAAACTTGTCCACGCTGCCCACTCGCCCACCCACCCCATCAGCCTTGTACGCCTGAGACGCAAAAAGTGTGGATGGGGAGTCACACCTAGGGCAAGACTGCAAGTCTGACATTGATGATGTACTGCAGTATGTTTTTACCTGTCCAGGTAATGGGAGTTAAAGCTGATCTGGAAAAACACTAACTTATTAACAAGACTTTTACTCGATTAAAGGGACAGTATATAGCCGAATTAAATTTACATGATATATCCCCCTGCTATCTACTCTCCTTGCAGTAATACTGCCAGAGGGCTTAATTGCTTATTGCTTATTGTATATTTGATGAGGTGTGGACATAGGCATCCCCAAGGTCCACTTGGACTAGACTTTTTGCCAGATCTCATTGTGGGCTGTAAGCTTTAGCTGAGATTTTTATGTCATTTTTAAACAATAGCTCTACAAACTCTGTCAGTTTTTACTTTATGTTGTGGCTTTTGAATCGGGTCGTAACACATATTTTACTTGGCTTGTAGTGTTGTTTATCCATTTCTGTTATTTTGGGGTGAGCGGCTGAGTTTTGGCAATGTTAGTTGCTTTGCATATTTTTGACAGTAACAACATCTTTTTCTAGTAGCCATCAAAAAAACTTTGTTGTGTTTTTCCAAACTACAGCCACCACACAGGCCCTGCATCCACCTACCCAGAATGAGAAACATACTGATGCTGGATTTGAAAAGAAAAGTATTTCTTTGATTCTCTGACCACCAAATGCTCATCTGTTTTATTAGATTCAAGAGAAAGCTGACATCTCTACAGCCTGATATCTCCCAAACTTTGCAACGCACACCACTGCACTAAACACTGATATAGTACTAAGGGAAACAGAGTCACCTTTCTCTGAGCAGAGAAGATCATGGCCAGATGAATGACAAAGAGAAGAAATGAATCTCTGCAGGGTGCTGGTGTAAAGATCATTCACACATGAACATGGCTTCCAAGCAGAAATGCTCCCTGCATACTTCTAAATAATTGCGCTTGCTTTGGTTAAATTTTAACCTTCATATGATTTCAGGGGACAGCAGGTTAGGTTCTTCACAGCAAGTACCTTCTTGTTCTTTAGGCAATATTTTAAATATAAAATCTAATATTCAAAGTCTTCAGATTCTTTATTGATTGTAACTTCATACAAAAGAACACGTCTTAATTAAAAGTCAGTATTGGCTCTCAATCCTTGGGTCTTAAAGTATTCCATTATATAAACATCTCGAGTTAACTGTTTCCTGTTTCTTGTGAAGATATACAGGACAGATCCCGGCTAAGAGAAGCTTCATGATTACAGCCTTGCAGCTCCCTGACCACACGGAAACCATGATTGTAGATCTGATGTGTATATATAGCCCTGACCCACTCCTTAATGTTGTGTATTGTGGATGGTTGAACGCCCTGGCCCTGAAGTCTGCAACACTGAATAGGGAGTATTGCAGCCAAATTATACACTACACATATGACATTTGGTACTGGTTTTGTCATGAGTCTATCCTATTTGTTGACACAAAAAAGGAAAAAACAGAAAAAATATTTGGCATCACAACTCATAAAATACTTCCATATGATTTTTTGCTTTCATTAATTTGTCATCAGTTGTGTCTGCGAATTGCCCGAGGGTATAACGTGCAAATAAATTCCAATTAGGAGTTCCCAATTAATTAAGCTTTTTAAAGTTTAATATTTTCTATAGAGAGAAATGGAAATTTACAACTTTAAGATCAAACTTATCAGTACTGATGAACAACAGACAATCCAGAGTTTTATTCCTCGTTCACACATTCGTCAGGACCGCTTAAGCCTCTGTGCTGCAGTGCACTACTTTAGTCTACGCTGCCTTAAAACAAATTAAATTCCAGTCAGGTCGCAACGGCCAACACATAACCCAAACAAATGCACCACATCCGCTTTGTTAGTTCCAGCTTCCAGGGGGAGCAAACCAGGACAAACAGTCCTCCGAAACAAATAAAAGGTTGATTCTTACTTAGAGAAAAATAAAATATTTTCAGTGCCATAAAGAAAATGAAAACAAGATGAGAGGCAGTGATGTTGTGTGTGTGTGTCGTCATTTATTTATTTACCTCTGAGTTGAAGCGGATCTGGCAGACGTTACAGGAGATGACTGGTCGCTTGGTCTTGATCAGAGGAACTCCAAATGTGTGGTTGATCACAGCCTTTTGCACCGGGTCCATCTGCCAGAGTGAAAGACAGAGAGCAGCTATAATTCACACTGGTGCCACAGCTCAATGGGCCAAGCTGTCATAACGTGCAATAGACTAAACCAAAATGACCACATGCAGAATGCACAAGGTTCACAGTTAAAGAGCGGTTACAGAGTCTGTTTGATGATATCTGATATCACTTCAGCAAACAGTGGTCAGCAGTGTTGACAGTTTGTTGCTACAACCGAGACACCTGTTGCATCCCCACGATTAGGAATCTGATGGTTCTGGATCCTCACTACATTGTAGTATAATACTGTCCCTGTGCTAATTGCTTCAGCTGGGACATCCATCATCTCTGTAGTGTTAAGCACCTTGTATAAATTTAACTAACTTGCTTAGCAGCCCTCAGTAGTTAAGCTGCCCGTATAAATTCTGTCCCAGACACAAAAGACCCGGCCCGTACTGGACTGTTTGTGTTTGAAGCCGAATTTATCAAGCAATCACTGTTGGTTGACCTTAGCATTACTCTGGATTCAGTGGCTGGCTTATATTCCAGCCTCAGACAACTGTCTACAGCTAAAGTAAGCAACAATCATAAACAAAGACTGATGTAGCAGTGCGCGGGTATGCAAGAAGAATGAAGCAAAAAAATCCGTGGCCTGAAGAGCAAAAGGATACAAAACTTTGTATTTTGAATTCAAAAGACAGCGAGGAAACGTTCAAGTGTGTCCACCAAGAGTAATGAAAGCATAATGCAGTGCCAGGCAGATGCAAAATAACTCACTTTTGATTCATTACTGTATTTTGGACTATTTACTAAGCTTTTCTTTAAGCCTTGTTACACTGAGAGGCACAGTCTCATCCAATATAGAAGCAGCTCAACATCCCGAGGAGTGAAGGACAGGATAGAAGGGGCTTAAACAAATATTGTTGTTACTTAGACTCAAATAAGTTTTTTTGTTTTTTTTGCACAGTGCTCGTTGCTTGGCAACTCCCAACAAAAAGAAGCAAAAATAAAGAAAAATAAAAGATCAAGGGGAGGAGCCTCAAGACATTTCAGCCACCCAGCTGTGGCCGGAAGGCACAGAAACATACCATCTGGAGGAGAGAATGAGTGAGCGAATGAGAAAAAGAAGAGCAGAGAGTTGGAGGGAAAGAGAAAGAGGCCCAAGCTGGACATCCTCACATCAAGCATGCTTATCTCTTTTCCACGTTCCAACACTGTCTCTGTCTCTCTCCCAAGAAACTGTATAAAGAAAGCTCTGCTGCTCTGGCTGTGAGGACAGATTAATGGGGAGGGCTGGGGTGGGGGTGGAAGATATATTGAACAATTACAAATGTTTACTGCGTGAACATCTAAACAACAAGAACTAAGCTTTAGCCAGCACAAACTTCCACACCAGGACTGCATTTAGCTTCCTATTAATTTTTAAAAAGTGACACTGTGTTTTATCAACTCTTTCCAAAGTGTAGAAAAATTTCTTTCTCTCAGTGTCCATAATGTGACCCAGACTAGATAGAGTTTAGCAAGAATTTGAACCTGCCTGGTGGCGTAACCGCATGAATCATGGGCTTCTCCGCAGTCATTCCACCAGTCTGGGTGTGGGTCAGTTATGACCCATCCAGTTAATTCAGCTGTTGAAAACACAGTCCAGCTGCCAGCAAATGTCTTTGGAATGTTGCTCGCATGGCCTCTTCTCCAAACGCTCTCCAAAACATGTTCTCATGAAATAGGAGGAGAGCACTATGATGTAACTGCAGAGGGATTTTCCAAAACTCGCTCGTATAATTTTGTGAACATCCATAACTGTAACTGTACATTCTCATAAAAAAATAGAAAGCAAACATATTAAAAAGTTTACATTTATCTGGGAAAATAATGGAAACTTCATGTTATTGTGGAGCTGTGTGAATGTGGTGAGGTAAGCAAAGCACACAGACCGCAGACCGCTGACTTTAGCATCACTCGGCAGTCATGTCAACAGCTCCATGCAGCCTTAAAACTCCAAACACTCAAATATCACCCAAGCATCATCCAACACTGCACAATGACACACGTCCTAACTTACCAACATCCTCTGTTCTAGAGTTTCTTTTCATCTTTCATTTTGTACAGTTCTGATTTTCTTCCCATTCTTTACTGTGTTTTCATTCAGTCTTAGTTAGTCTTTCTTTAGTTCGTTTGATCAGCTAAAACCCACCAGGGAGAGTGCACTACAGCATGACTCTCAGTAGAGCCATTGTGACAGTCACAGTAAGGTCCACACTGTGCCAGACGAAAACAGCCTTTGAAGCACAAATTCAGCATCACGTTTAAGCTGGCCCAGTTTAAGACACAGTTGGACCGACAAAAATGTGACAAGCTCTTTGAATTTTAGGTACTTACCTTCATCTCCTCTTTGTCTGTAGAAGCTTGGAGCTGCATTGGTCCTCCTGTGTGTGTACTGCTGGCCGAGGTATGTGTTTGGGTCTCAGCATGTGCAAGGCTCAGAGCTTGTGGTGCACTATCCTTACTCATTCAGCCTGTTTGGTAGGTGGTCAACGCTGAATACAGACTAGCTCACAAAAACTGAGCTTATGCCTAGTGAAGCATTGGTAGCTGCGATATCTTTATTTCCTTTCAGCACACCGTCTGCTTCTCTTTTGAGATGCTTTAAGAGAAATCTCTCCCTTACTTCTTTTTTCAACACATGACCTAACAAGTGCCTGTCCCTTTTTTCAGTCTCCTCCTCCTCTATTCTCAACTACATTCCCTCTCTGCCTCACACTCCACTTTAATGCACTTCCTTCTCTGCTTTCCAGTTTTCTCCTCCCTCTCTCCCTCTCCCTCTCTTCCCCATGGTCTGTCAGTCTGCCCATGTGCACCCAGGATTATGTATCCTACTCTCCTCCTGCCAAACTCTCACTCTTCTAGGAGTGCTGAATAGCCTTGGTATGGATATTGATAAGAATTTACTGATAACAGTGTTTTTATCAATTATGCTCACAGGTCAGGTTCTTAGCTAATCAACTTCTTGATTCCTGACTTTGCTGTTTAGGCTTCCTTTAGGTTTTCAGTGTAAGTTCAGCTTTGTTTTTACTACCTATGAGCCAGAGCTGAGGTTCACATGTGACTCAGGTGTACAAGAGCGCCACAGCCGTGTCCTTTCAAGCTGCTAGAAAAACATGCGAGCACTGATAAAAGGAAATGATAAAGTGGAAGGCCTACAGTCCTGATGAACTGGAGGAGGCAGAGCAATTCCCATCTTTAATTCACACCATCCATCGAATGTCGTCATCCACCACTGTAGCCGGCATCTCCCCCACAAACCCAGAACTCACACTTGCATGAAACTCTAGCTAGACAAATATTTATTGGATGTGACATATTCACACCAAAGTGATGACTGGGCCACATGTGGTGCTGGACAAAACATAAATGTGCACTGTTTAGATAATGAGCTATTAGTCATGTCTTGCTGTACTACAATTATTTTTGTAGAGAGTGAGAAAAGATATATATAGTAGTTAAGATTCAACAACTGCACATGATTATACTGGACCAAGAAGTCATGTGATTGTGTAGCTTCAGCAAACAGTGCAGGCAACACAACTCTGAGTTTTACTCTGAGTTTTATGAGCAGTTTTATGTCTGTATCAGTACCAGCTGATGCAGATAAATAATTCAGCCTCATCATTGTCTACAGGCACATTGCACGAGACAGGCAGGTGGAGGACAAATCACATTAAAGGACTATTAAAAGCTGTATATGGCTTTAGGAGAGGCCATTCCTCCGCTATGGGGCTAATAACCCTCAATGTGAAGTAGAGCCTCATTAAGGCTGTACAAACTCAGCGCAGATCACTTATTAAGGCAGAATGATGGAACAACTAGCTGTCAGCTCACTGCAGTGCTGTACCTTCATTGGGATATTTTGTGGATCATAATGTGTTACTGTGCAATGGTGCAGAAAAGCGCCAGGAAACATCAAAAGCACTTGAAATGTTATGTGAAATAGCCCCAGTTCAGCCTAACAATCCATATAAAAACCTCCAAAACAAAACAGTATAAGATGTAAATGGAGCTGTGGACACTTACTCTCTTATTCTAGATCTTCCTGTATAAATGTACTCATCTTCACAGCACTACATTGAACATAATAAACTCTGGGAAAGTGTAAAGCTAGGATATCCCAGCAAAACGTTAAAACAGAGCCTCATATAGGGGCAAACAAAGCGGTTTCCATATCTGCAGCATATTTACACCACATACATGCCGCATATCTAATAAAATCTGAGATTATGTCATACACTTCAGGCAACAGAAGCTCTCCTTGCAAACACCAACAGTGATATGTTAGTGAATCATTTCTTCATGCTTTTGAATGTGCTGTGTATACTATGAGTACGCTGTAAGGTCAGAATGCCCTTACAGCTTCTCTTATGGCCCCATCTCCTGGCCACAGAGCTGTAAAACAGCACTAACGGTTACCTCGCAGTCATCAGCAGGAACACCTATTAACATTCACAGCGTCCCTGTGGGCCTTCCTACCTAGTTGACTCGTTGATAAGGAGGATGGTGAGCGGATGGACGTTACAGAATAGGTGAGAGGAAGTCCAGAGGGAGTGTTGCAGAGGCAGCAAGACAGGAAATAAAATCAAGCAAGAATGATTTTAGGGCTACGCTAACAGAGGCCAGAATGGAAACCGAGTGCCTGCATAATCTCAGTATCTCTATTAATGCATGTCTGCTGGGTGTAGTGCAGTTTGATGGTGAAAATGCTTCCACTTATGTCATGGTCCACTGAGGCCTATTAAAATGACTATATTGTTAAAATGTGTTTAAGAGTGTCTGGACTCCTGTTACAATCCCTGTAGGGCCATGCACAGTCAAAGCTCATGCCAGATATTTCCAATTAGTGAAAGGTTATTATGTTGTCTTGTTGCAGACTGCAGCTAAATATACCAGGGTGACACATAACCCTGTTGAAGCCATGGTCCGCAAATAGCATTGCCCCAGTAGAGTACATATACAGTTCAGTGAATTTACATATTGCTGATGAGAAATGTGTTGACATTGTTCAGCGGAGTCTGGAGGAGCAGGTGCCACATTATGCTGAGTTGGTGAAATGGTAAATGTCTCTATGGTCTAATCTAAATGCCTGAGGTAGAAGGAACAGGAAGCCTCCTCTCCTTTAAAAGAAAAAAAATATTACATCAAACAAACTGCGGCGTTTGATGTTGTTAGTTATAGGGATGGCCTTGAAACTGTTCTTTAATTATATGGCTACGATTTTACGGCTTTGAAAATAGTCCTGTTTCCTTAATGTACAGTCCAGTGTGTCTCAACATACATTGTTAATCTAGATGTGGCAGCACAACCTAAAAATTTTAGACATATCTTAAAGCTGACTATTGCATTCAAAACTGTACGCAGAGAAGAGTGCAAGTTAAAGCATAACGGCGGTAACCTCCAGCACCCAGCACAACATTTACAATTTTGCGCCGCGCGTTTTTCTCGCTGCAGTCGATGACTTAAAAGGCTGCAGTGTTTGTGCTTGTTGTCTGCAGCAACTCTTACCGTATTGAAGTTGTGGAAGAGGCTCATGCTGTGTGGAGGAGGGGGGGTCTCCACTGGGAACTGCAGGAAGGGCTTCATGTCCAAGTGGGGTTGGATCACTGTGGGGGTCCGTAAGAATGTCGGCACTGCTGCCCCAGCTCGATTGATGCCTCCTAAACACAGAAAGAGACAGAGATACATAAGTATGCACGGTATTTTCCAGCATTCATGAGCCCAGGCTCCGGGCTGTGTTTACTCAAATGTGTGACAGAAAATTTAAACAGTGTCTTTAGGTGATATAAAGAATAGAAATTAAAGCAAGAGACAGAGAGAGGAAGGGAAAAAACAACAAAAACATGTGCTTTTTATAACAGGCTGTGTACAGTTGTTTCCTGGAAGGTGCAGCTGAATTCCAAAATGCACAATAATGTATAATTTCACTGCAAAAGCAATTATCTCTCTGTGGACAGAACAAAGCTATGTGACGCCCCATAGAAGCATACAGTTTCTACACAGTGAGGAAAAAAGATGCATTTGGTCAGTTAAGGGCTTTTCATTGATTGCTGCACAGATCTTCTGGTTTTCCAGACGTGTTGGCAAGACTGAATCTACAAAGTGTGACATTGCTTTAATACATATGGAATGATGTTGAGGGTTTTGTGGACTGAATGATTCACATCCCCGAAACAGGAATGCCATAAGGAAGAAAAGGATGCCACAGAGGCAGAGGGGATTCCTCTTATCCACCTGTCTGCCAGTGTGCTCTCTTCTTCTCTCCTCTCCTGGGAGACATCTGCAGCTAGATGATAATGAGTTCCATCTCAGGCAGCGCTGCTTTATGTCATCCTGTGTTGTGCACTACAGCTGGATCACTTAGTTGAGTCTAATTATAGTATGAATGAAAGAAGAAGTACCACATACTTCATTTGGCTGGATTTCTAAAGAAATCGAAAAACGCAGTCACTTAAGAAAACTACTGCAAGGGTACCCTTGCACACAGAGAGATACACATGCACACGCAATATTTAATTCGCCTATAAGAAACATGTGAGGCTGCCTTAATGATACGCAGTTTCCTATTCTCCCCATTGCTCCCATCTGGCTTCTCTTCCTTTTCCTCCTTATTCCCTCTCGTCTCCTCTCTAACCTCTGTCAAGGATGATAGTGATGGGGCCCAAACAGCAAAACTCAGCCTCAGCAAGCTCTTAGATTAAGCCTCTTAATATCCGCAACTGGATTTCTATGGCTTTCAAATTCCTCCGAGACTTAAAGCTCTGCCGTTCTCCTTTTCGGGATTGCTCTAAGCTACTTTTTTTGCTCTGTTACTTGCCATCCCTCACCGTGGTTTCCACAGCAGTGCTTTTCTACCTTCCTCCACACTTTCACATGCTAATTTGGGCATTATTTGACACCTCTGCGATTTCATCAAGCTTTATGTCAACTGAATGTAAACAGAGAAAATATTATGACTGCTGCTTTGAAGACTATGTTACCAGATGGAGTCGCCGAAGTTTGGATTAGAGTGAGTGGGAGAGAAAGGGATAAGAAAGAGAGAGCGGGGGGGGGATTGACTTTGTCGGGCTGGAGTGAAAGTGCTGTCTCAGCTGCCTTCTGCTACGCATCTGTAGGCCTCGAGGTGCAGAGGACTGCATCATTACCTCTAGTTGAGCATTTAAATTTTCTAGTCTAAACAAACCAAACATATACACATGCAAACACGTGTATGAAAGCACAAAACCACACAATTATTCTTACAACATGTGAAACAAGTTTGAGGCTTCTTGCCTGCTGGTTTTCCAGCTGGTGCAGTCTGACTCAGCAATCTTAAACTCTTTCATTTTACATTAGGTTAAAAAAAACCTGACAGGTTTTTTAGTTTTCCTAATTAAATATGTACACTTGCAAACATGCAGAGTCCACCCTTTAATCTAAACTCCTCGTGAATGTAGCTTCTTCTGAAAGAGGATTAGAAGTAACTGATGAAGCCAGTTTGTCCTCTATCAGGGCTGCATCACTAATACAATGATTCTTCACTGCATTTATCATGGCGTCGTGCCGTGTCTCGATACATCGTCTCCTTTAGCATCTTTGTACAAGTTCATGTGTGAATGTGTGTTTTGCTTGTATGGAGTGAGACTCTGTTAGCTGAAATTGCACAGCAGTAATGTTTGCAGCTCCCCAGCGAGTCTGTCCTTGAACACTGAGACCGTTACTGGCAGCGGGTCAGGCAGTGTCTGGCAGGCTTACAGAGAGATTGGCTGAGTGGAGGGCAAAACGCGTCTCTGCAGCAGCACAAGGAGCTGAAATCCGAGGAAGTGAATGGAGCTGTGGACCAGACATGAGCAAGAAGAGCAGTTGGCCCTTGAGCCCAAGACATATGTGTGTTTGTCAGCGTGCATAAATCAGAGTGTGGCTGCACCATATATTTATCCCATTAATTTAATCTCTCTCTGGGGATCTCCTTACAATGTTAACTGAACAAATTGTTATATGGTGCAGGAGTATGACAAGTGCACAAATGCATTTTCGCAAACATATGGGCATTTTATGTGCAGTGTGTAAACAAGCGCATGTGTTTAAGTGCTCCCACTTGGCTTTTACGGACCAGACGTCAATGAAGTCAGAGCTGATAAAATAATAAATTGTAAATGAGTAATAACAAGAAGTCTCTTCTAATGGCTTCTATGCAAATACTACACATATATAATTTTTTTTGTTGCAGACAGGAGGACAAACAGAGTAAGCAACTTGGCTGTCTGTGACTGGCATTTTACAGCGTTTTCTACCCTTTAAACGACTAAAAGAAAAACAAATCAATTTACTTTAAATCGCAAAAGGCCTTCACAGTTCATCAAAGAACTGTTATGTGTACTGTTATTAGTAAAACTAATTACAGCATGCAAAAGTAAGTGATGACAAAACAGGATCTTTGCTCACTGTAGTCTGATATTCCCTTCCTCAGTACTCCCTTGTGGCTGTTGGAGCCTGTTCTGTGTGAGTGTATGTGTGGTAGAAATTGACAGACAGGGCTGCCTGGAAGAGCTGAGAGAACTCAGACAGTGATTTGGATGTTGTTAAACCCTCTGACATGCCAGGAATCCTACCAGGCTAACAGGGGCCATAATCAGAGCTCATAAACAGCCTGTGGGATGCTGCCAGAAGGCTTTTTTGAAGAGTTTGTCTTCATATGAGCCTTTATTATTCACTTTGTTGTGAGGACCATCACGAGTTTTGTACCTTAATTAGAATGTCGAGTTAGGTCTAGGTTATGAACAGTACTGAGGGCAAGAGACAGCATGAAAATAAGCACCACTCCAAGTAGTTATATGTGCCAATACTAAAAATGGCCACAAACCCATGCTTACACTGTATAAATACAACAGCAGGTAACGCCAACTCCTCCTGTAGCTGAATGTCAGTGTTCTTGGGCAAGATATTGAACTGCCCCCATTCATACATCAGATGTGAGTTTATGCATGCTAGTTAGAAAAATGCTTAAATGCATAGAAAAAAACATTATATGAATGTTTGTATGAATGGGTCAATGTGGCTTGTAGCAAAAAAAAATGCTTTGAGTGCTCAGTTAGAGCAGAAAGGTGCTATGTAAATACCAGTCTGTTTATGCATACGCACTAATAAATGACCCTCAGTCCTGCTTCACCATGTGACACATTTAATCCCTAAAGCTGTTTCTGTTTGGGGTTGAACAAGTGGAGGCAAAACTGAAAATACAAGTACACATAACTGATGGTTGATCAGAGCAAATTAATGTGGTTACTACCTTTCTTTTGTATTTCCTGATCCTGCCTCCCCCACCCAAAATGATGATACCGTACACTAATGTAAAGATAGTGAAAAGAACAGAAGCTATTTCAAAATCAGTTCGAGCGATCGGTAAATCAAAAAGGAAAACATGCTTAAGGGTGATGATTTTCATACGATAACCAGCGTTTTACATATAATAAAAGTAAAATGCGAACGTAAAATGTGATGCTAAGCTCATACAAGGCTTTGTTTACTCCAACGCATGTGAAAAAAACAGAAAAGAAATAGAGCTGATTTGGTAAGAATCTTTGGAGAAAACACCATCGTGTGTTTTCCTTCCCCCGTTCTGCTAGACAAAGAGCTGTTTCTAGAATCTAGGCTAAGAGAATCTTTTCATGTCTTGAGATTATCTAACAGGCCGTGTAGATTGCGCCACGCTGTGTTCAGCCTTCTTTCCCATGGGCGTTGGATGCATTCAGGGGAGAACAATGGGCACAGGGTAGTTGGCACCAGCCATGCTGGACAGCCACAGATGTGCCAGGGTTGTTGGCAGTGGGGGCAGGGAGAAGGAGGTGGAAACAGTGAGGATGCCAACTTGCCCTTCTGCGGGGATCTGAAGCTGGCACCTGTCCTCCTCATTGCCCAGAGGGAACAGAAACATAAGAACTTATAATCAGTGCCGCAGATATGTTTGATGCAGGAATATAACCAACAGATGTGTTGGTAAGTCTGGATGCATAGCACCTGCCTGAAATCAATGACATGCCATGACAACTACAAAAAATAATTTGGGATTTCAACATTTTATGTGAAGAAGTAAATTCAGTAATGAACTGTGATTTTATTTACCTATCGTATGTCACGGCGAGGTGCGCCGATGTGTATGGAAACAGGGCCCAAAAGCAGATGATGACGAGGAGTAATAAGTTTAAACAGAAAAGTGATCCTTTATTGAGATGACGGCAGGGAAAACCAGGAAACCAAAGCAAACTGTCAAAAACACTACGAAACAAAACACTAAGAGGTACTAAGACCAAAAACTATAACTGTGGAGACCATAAACAGGCAAAGACGAAAACAAAGGCTAAGGTCAAAATAACAGACGACCCGACAATAGCATGCAGAAAACAAAGGGCTTAAATACATACAAGAGGTGATCAGGGGAAGTGGAGACACATGGGGGAACAGCTGACTGACATAAACCTAAATGACAGGACCAGGAGAGGAAAGCTAAATACAATGAACAAAGAACACATGACACTGTCAGAATAAAACAGGAAATACTAAAACTAAACATGACAACACAACTTAACAGACCTAATACGTGATGAATAAATACCAAACCCCAAAACATAGAAAACCCAGGAACAATAACCAATAACTGTCTAAACTAAAGGCAAAATAGGAA